CCCTATCAGGTTAACAACTTAGCTCAGACTGCTCCCTCAGAACAGATGGGTCAGTGGAGGAATCTAACAGCCAAGAGCACAAAAAGTTACAGTTGGTGTTAATGGAGGGGAGCAAGTGTGAAAAAAATAAAGCGTGAGGTTCTCACACTGAGTTCCTGATGCACACCAGCTGGTGTACTCAAGGGCTTGGCAATAAAATAGAATAATGTCAATAATGTCCCCTTTGATCCTCAAGGAAAGTTAAGTAAATGGGTAAACTATCTCCATTTTCAGCTTCATTTCCATACATTTGGTTCCTGTTGCCTTCTATCTGCCTCCCAGCAGGTAGCACCAAATGAACATAGAGCAAACAAGTATATTTTAAAATATATTTTAAAAATATATTTTCCTTCTTAAAAATATTTTTAAGCCCTGGCTGGTGTAGCTCAGTGGTTAGAGTGTCAGCCCATGCACCAAAGGGTTCTTGGGTTCGATTCCTGGTCAAGCGTACCTGGGTTGCAGGTTCGACCCCCGGCCCTGGTCAGTGTGCATTCAGGAGGCAACCAATCGATGTGTCTCTCTCACATCAATGTTTCTCTCTTGCTCGCTCTTTCCCCTCCCTTCTACTCTCTCTAAAATCAATGGAAAAAATGTCCTTGGGTGAGGAGATATATATGTACCCATGCTTATTATGAAAAATGCAAGCAATATGGAAGATGGGGTGCACAGACCAGACCTCCCCATTCCCAGGCCCACTGATCAGGGGAACCCCAGCTGAGCATTTGGTGTGTCTTCTCTTTCCCTTGCCCTTCCCTCGGAAGCAGTGCCACAGTGGGAGCTGAGGAGGAGTTGGGGTCAAGGAGGTGCCTGGTGTGGCTAGAAGATAGGTTCTATATGAGAACTGAGCAAATAAGTAAATATATTGAGGATAACCAGAGTCAGGTTTCTCACTATTGGAGAGGGGAGTCACAAATAAGGAAAGGAGGAAACTAGGGAGGAACCTGAAGTGTTGGGTAGGAATTGGAGGTATTAGTGTGAACTCATGCTTTTAAAATAAATCTATCCATGTACAGGGAGATAGATATAGCTGTGTGTGTGTGCTTTTGTGTATGTGTATGTATGTATTTTTTGTCTGCAAAGGGGCTTAGAAGCAATGATATCCCAAAAGGAATGAATGACCCAGCGTCTGATCTTGTTTTTTTAAATCCTATATTGAACTAAATGAAGAACTGACTGATTCCAAGGCTGGGGCTAGGAAAATTCAAGATGAACTTGGAACATGTTGTATCTTTTTGCTCAAAGAGTGATGGGACCATGTCAACAGGACAGAGGAGCCAGCCTGAAGAGCTTCCCACAGGCCACATCTGGGACAATTTGAGCATTAAAATAAATAATGGTATAAATGAAATACATCCGACCATGCTGATGAATATAAAATGAATAAATAACGGGGAAGAAGGGAAAGCTCTTCCCAACAGCAGGATGCTAACCGTTTGACAGTTATCAGAATGGTGGTTAATTCAGGCGGGAGTCAGTAATGGATGCTAAGGATGTCTCCTCACAAAATATTTATCAACTGAAAGAAAAACTAGCCCGACCGGGCATGGCTCAGCGGTTGAGCGTCAACCTAGGATCCAGGCGATAGGGGTTTGATTCCCGGTCAGGGCACATGCCCAGGTTGAGGGCTCGATCAATGACTCTCTCATCATTGATGTTTCTATCTCTGTCTCTCCCTCTCCTTTCCTCTCTCTGAAATCAATAAAGATATATTTTATAAAAAAGAAAGAAAAATTAGTCTATTTATGGTGACAGAACCTGGCAGACAGCACCTTGACCGGGTGATCAAGGTTAACATCACCAGTGGTGGGACAGGTCAACAGCATATATCCCCTGATGTGATGCACTGAGAAAAGTTGGCATCTTTTCTATGGAGTCCCTGCCAAGAGGGCACAACCTGGGTCTGGACATGAGGAAACATTGCACAGACCCAGGCTGAGGGACATCCTACAGAATGAAGAGCTTCTAGTCTTTGAAACCGTCAAGGTCATTAAGACAGGGCCAGACAGAGAAAATGCTCTAGAAAAGGGATAACAAATGGGAGCAAAGGTGAGAAAAGTTATCAAGTAGAGAATCTAGGTGAAGGAGATAAGAGGCCTCTTTGTTACTGCTCTTGCAGTTTTAAAAATAGGTATTGATTCCAGAGAGAGGAGGGGAGAGGGAGAGAGAGAAACATCAGTGATGCGAGAGAATCATTGATCAGCTGCCTCTTGCACGCCCCCCACTGGGGATGGAGCCTGAAACCTGAATTTGGGGGATTGGTATTGATGCAAGTGCATTAAAACAAACAAACAAACAAACAAACAAACAAACAACAAACCTCCCCAGGTGATTCCAGTGTGCGCCGAATCTGAGAAGCAGTGGGGTCCGGGCCCCAGGGTTCGCCACAGCCGGGTGCAGCCTGCTGAAGACAGTTCGCGCGGGCTTCCCGGGGGTGGGGCGGCTCGCAGCGGGCGCGGCGCAGGTGGCCCAGGCCCC